TTACTTATCTTTGCATTGAGGGGGTTGCATTCATTTTCACTGTAAATGTACAATGCCAATAAAGATAAGGCCGTGCTGCCTGCTTTCTCCGGTTTTACGCCATTTTACTCCTTTCAAAGACTCCTTGCGAAGCCCTCCTCCGGGGTTTTTTCGGACCTAATTGTATTGCAGAGTTTTGCACAGCGGCAACTGGATCTTTGCTCTCAAACCACAAAAAAATGTGATGGCACAACAGTCTCCTTTAGTACATTATTCTATGCTTTCTTTTGATTTTCACATTGGCTAGTCATCCTGTTTAATTTGTCTTCTGATTAAATCGGAACCGTTGAAACAAGTTGTAAGAAGCCTCTGCAATTAATTGGTTGCTGGCAGACACTCTGTGCTGCAATAAAATGGTTAATCAGCAGTGCCATGTACTGTAGAGTCGATGCACTGCTGGTTCTGCCGGCCTGAATAGAATATAATGTCTATAGCCTTACTGTTGTGTACAGCATTTATAGACTGAGCTGAGTAGTGATGCGCAGGTCAACCCGTAACCCGCGGGACCTGCAAATGGACCTGCGGGTCGGGCAGCAGTGATCGTCTGTTAAATCGGTCTGTAAATGATATTTTGACATTATTGGCTATTACTGTCATGGCATCCGAAGGTACTGATGCGTTGAGCAGGTGACAGTCCGCGGTCGTTTTCAAAACACACTTGTGTCACGCACTCCAAAAGAAACTTGTTGAAACTTTAATCAATAATTTATTATACAAAACGGTAGAAACAAACGTTGACAAAAATGGTTCCATAATTCATATTAAATTCAAAAGATAACGAAAAAACAGCTACAAGTTAGAGGGAAAAGTGATAAAGTGGTAAAACTTGGCGTTGATCCACAGCCTCAGACGGATGCGCTCAAGTCTGCCGTGCGCACAAGCTCAGTTGGTAGGCGATACTATATTTTCACATTTTTAACAATGCAATTTAAAAGTTTTATTTTTATTGATAACCTTCATTTACCAACAACAAAAAAACTACATTTAACACCAAAAAAATATGTAATATGTTGTTTGTTCAACTGACCTTGATTCATGTCAGGTACTGTTTATGTTGCGGTGACAGTTAAGTGTGTTAACCTGTTGACCCATGAGAAAATGTAAGGGAGTTGGTGGGACAGGTCTGTCACTACTTGCGTGGGTGAAAGTGATGGGACGATAATTAACGACTGCTTCCACTTCTGTAAGGATCATTTCAGTTTGTCCGTATGTCACTGACCTCACCAGCCTCTCCCACATGCCACCGCACCAAGTGACTCTTTCTGTAAAGATTTAGTACAGAACTGGGACACAGTCACAGAGAAAAATACCAGACACCAAGAGCAGTTAATTAGATCGAAATCTTTACTTAGGAGGTCAGGGATCATACATGTGAAGGCAGTCAGCAAAGACGACAGGGAACCCTACAATAAGTTCAGTTCTTTATGGGCTCCTCTGAATGTTTTTGCATTTGCATTTCACATATTGTGTGACAAAGTCCTCTGCATGACACGAAGTGTCCAAATGCCACTGGGAAGTTTTCAGTGGTCAGATCAGTCGCTTATTCTAAATGAGTAGTCCTTGTGACTGCACAGGTAAAAAGAGCAATATAAACTTCCTGTGTTCCTGTGTTTTCAAAGGGAGGCACTTCCTAAATGTGCTGTTCAGGTAAGCGTGCTGAAATCTGCTGAGCAGGTTTGACTTTGTACTTGCGACAGATGAGACAAGTATGTATCGCTCTTTTTGTCACTTGTCTTCCTTTAATTATCCAGAATCTCTCTCTCACTTGATTAGAAGTATCTTTGAGGCTGTAATTTTCCACTTGCTGATGATATTTTTTTCACTGTCAACTCAGAAGACTTTTAATGAAGCTCAGCACAAGTTCAATCAGGAAGACTTTCTTTGCACTCATTCATTTACAACTCTCTCCATCCCACTCCTACTGTTTCCTCTAATTAGCTGACTATGGGTGTTCACTCTTTTCCTTATCAAACTTAGCTACAATCTCTCTCAGCCAATCAGGATGCCACTGCAAAATTTTAAATCTGCTTTTTCTTCTGCTGCTGTCAGCCATGATTTTAGGCAGCTTCTTCGTGCACTCCTCCACCCCGTTCTCCTCCAGCCATCGTATCC